ATTTATAATTTTTTTATTTTTTTTAATTTATAATTTTTTTTATTTTCTTTTAATTTATAATTTTTTTATTTTCTTTTAATTTATAATTTTTTTATTTTCTTTTAATTTATAATTTTTTTTTCTTTAATTTATAATTTTTTTACAAAGTAATCCTAAAATGGAAGTTAACGATGAGATTTTGCGGTTTCAAGACTAACAATTTTCGCTTCGATACTATGACTTCGAAAAAGACAAAAAAAAACCGTTTCCTTAAGTTAATGTTTGTTATGAACAAAGCAAAATGGCATCGTTTCGTTAGTTGAGCATCTCTGGTATATACTTGTATTTAATGTAAATTCAACAAATGGGGTTAGGCATTAAATAATAAATTAATAAAAAATAACTTCACCCACGCCATATCTGTTAACCGTGTTTATTATTATTAACAAGATAAATAAAGTTTTGAGGTAAATTTTATGTCGCCCTGCTCAATAAAATCTATAACAAACATCAAATACGGCACAAGATGTTGCCAACCATTGTGTGAGCTATCGACATTGATTACAGGCCAAGCCGCTAATTAGCATGAAATTATAGATGAAACTACAAATGAAATTCATATGAACATACAAGCATTTGGTGGTGATTAAATTCAATTTTACAAAATCTGGACACCTAACTGAATGAACTTTAGGTACTTCAGTTTCTGTTGCAGGAAATATTTTCCTACACGAAAAATATATGGACATATATTTATATAAAAATACACCTATTACCCCAAAAATTCCTGTAGGGACTGTTGAATATTTTTTTCTGTTCAGGCTATTCTTTAATAAGGCATAAAGTTTAGTAGGGTTGCGTTGGCGTGGGCTGAGATAATAGCAAGACAACTATCTTAATTTTATTTATTTTCGGTTTATACAAGTTTCCATTCATTGATTTCATTATAAATTTTGGGTAATTTATGCAAATATGCTTCAATTCGCTGAATAGTAGTTTGGTGGGAATTTAGTACACATGTACATACATATACATATATATATATGTATATATTTTTAAAATGATACGCTCTAGATATACATAGATGATAGAAGTGTAGGTGATATGTGAAATTGTGTTACAATGTTATATATGTATTTATATAGAATTGTTTATTATTTTAAAAATTACAATAGTACGCATCATATTTTGTCAAAAAAAAAGTAAAGAGAATAACCTTGAAAGAAGTCCTCAAATGAATGGTAATATAATTCCTAGCAAAAAAAAAAACAAAATAAAATAATTTAATATAATACTTTTTAGCTTACACGCTCTGATATCTGTGTATATACGTGTATGTAACTGTGTGAATGATCAGTGCAAACTTCGTTAAGTGAAAATGCTGAATTGCTGATCGTAGCACCACCAACGCAGACCCAGTTTTGTAATTTTAGACATTTCTGCGTTGCTTTGATATGCAATATTTTTTTAGCAACTTCCGGCCGTACTTCCGTTAAAAGCCAAAACATGCAGACATACCAACCTACAATACTATGAAATCATTTATATTTTGTGGATACATCGCTAGGGCGATTCGCACTATTTGATTGACAGTTTCATATGTATTGTATGTTTGTATGTCCATACTACATATTAACACAAGCAAAGACTTTTTTTAATTTTTTGGACTTCATGCGAATTTCACAAAACTAAGCATATTTATTTTATTTATTTTTATATGTATTTATTTCTTTATATTTTTTTAAGTTCTTTACACGCGATTTTTTGTTTTTGCACTATGTTTTTTTTTTTTAAAATTCAAAGTTTTAAAAATTCTTAACGTTTTTAATAAAACGTTTACTGAACAACGGCCGCAATAGCGAAGGGTTAACAATGCATACCACCCTGCAGGAGGCCAGGGTTCGAACTTCATCCAAAATTACCGGAAATTAATTTAAATAAGAAAAGAAAGTTGATTTTTCTAGTTGCGGTCGCTACTTAACTAGGAATGTCAACTTCTTCGAGTGTATATATACGTACATTTATAATTGGATATGTGTAATCGCTGATGAGATTTTCAATCGACGCCAACGTTCAAAATTATTAAACATCATTGCGATCGCCCCTTGGCAGGAAATTTCAACCCCTCTGAGTGTATTTTTGACAAGATATCTACTTTTTTCCACGAATGCAAAACAATACCAAAACAACATGATACTTACAACAAGTCCATCGCATTACCAATGAGATCAGGAAGGTATTTGAGTTGAAAGAATATTGCTCAGCAATATTTCTTAATGTGGTTTAAGCATTCGATAAAGTATGGCATGAGGTACTTATATACAATACAACATTAAAGCAATTTATCTCTGAGGAGTGTTTCATTATAGTCGGAGTTCCTCAAGGCATCGTTGTCTTATTTATTTCAGCACTCGCAGAGGATATCGCTATTTTACGTCAGAGAAAGTGCCCAATAAAAGCCTAAATCGCACTAGAAAATCACTTATAACACGGGGAGTTGGTTGTCGAACTGGCGCATAAAAGTAAACGAGCAAAAGTGTAAGCATGTCACATTCATTCTAAAGACACAAACATGCCCAATACTAAAACTAAGCAACGTAATGATCTCCCAAGCAAGCGATGTTAAATACCTCGACAGTGAACAGCTACAACAACAATAACCAAAATAATAACAATAATAACGACAAATAAGCTCGGCATCCACCTAGATCTCCTATCTACCTAGAAGAGCCATATTTGTGCTAAAATACAGCACCTCAAATTTAAAACCGCCAGCCTAAGTAGCTAGTATCCACAAAAATACAACGATTCCAATCAAAAGCGCTACGATAACTCATATGTGCACATCAATGCAAATATAAACAGAGACCTTGGAATACCAATGGTAAAAAATACCTGTCAAAACTGCAAAACCCTCCGAATCCTCTAGCGAACGTTTTATCCTGCCCAGTATTTTGAAGTGCAACGTTTGACCTGAAATTTCTGGCATGAACAAATTGAAGAAGGAGCTCGGACACAGGACATGGACAAATTTAACTTATACTAGCGTACGAAATTTCTTGCAGTTTTCATTTTTCGAATTATTTAACTTTAATAATTGATAAAATTCCAGTAATTTTACAAATAATCTAAGTGAAGTAGGTATTTTCGCCGTGATCACTCATCTTTCGTTAAGAGAAAAACAGTACATATACTATATGTATGTATGTACAAAATGAAATGAGCAAATTAACGTTAACACATTTCTTATAGGTTAGTACAAAGAACAAATAACAACAAATAAAAAAAATAAAATAACAGAGTAGAGTTAAAGAAAATATTGATTGACTGACTCTCTAAGATATAACTTTATATATTAAGGGTAATTTTTTAGCTATTATCTTTTTGGGAACACTAGTTTAAACAGCTGACGCACAATGGACTTATTGAGAGGCGAGTTCGGTGAACATTTTATTTTACGTTCGGGACTAGTCTATAGGCCGCCTAGATCGTGCGATTTAACGCCTTTAGACTATCTAATGTCTATACAGACAAGCCCGCTTCAATTGACGCATTGGAGGACAACATTGAAGCATTTATTCATGAGATACCGGGTGAAATGTTGGAAAGTGTATGTCAAAATTGGACTAAGCGGACGGACCATATGAGCCGCGGCCGCGGTCAACATTTGCATGAAATAATCTTCAAACTTTAAATTATATGGGCCGTGCTCTCGATTAAAATAAAGACTTCATGCATTTTTCTAAATTTTATGTGTTTTTAAAAAACTTTCCTATAGCTCTTAAAAAATCACCCTCTATTTGGAGCTTTGTATACGCGGAAGCGATTTTTGGCCAATTCTCTGCAGTAAAGAAGTAAAGAGAACCATGCAGTGAATAAAACACCGACAGCTTATCACAGTCGGGTTTGAAATATAAAAATTATAACATAAGTGAGAATGACGCAGAAAACTCCACGGCGGTAATTACGGGCTCTCAATGCCTAATAGACACTTCGTGCTGAGCATTTAAGGCGTTTAGAGCGGTGGTTATACTGTATACTTTACAGAAGTCATGCACTTAGAAGGCAAACGAAATATGGGAGCAGCAAAGCACCTATTGACTCCATTAATAACGAGGAATATCGTGTTTGGGATAGTTAGGTGGGTTAAAGACTAGTTGACCAAGAAGTTTATAATATCATCATACTTATTTCTTTACTCTTGCAAAATCAATTGACGCCTTAGTGTTTGATAGTTTAAAATAGGTTGCAGATTATTACATTTGAGAGGTAACAGAAATCCTTTTTAAACGCGAACATAAATAATGTTACTATATTTAAGAAATAAATGCGAATAAATAATATGTTTATTTACATACTTCAAAACGTATTTAGGCATATATAGCATGCAAGCGTAAAGAATTTATTTTTAACCAATGCATCTTCACCTTACGTCCCAATCTCCCTTATTTTCGTTCTATACTTATGTACATACATAAGTAGATGCTGCACAGCAGCAAGTAAAATAATGTGACCGAAAATAACAGTGAAACCGTTGTTATGAATCATTCACGGAGTATTTTTATAGGCACACACCTATTACCAACAACTTGAAGGAGAAATATTTTTGCGCCTAAATCGAATTATTTTGCATGTGTGTTCAAACGTAAATTGCATATGGCATCAGCACGTCAACACCAGCAGTAGCGGAATTAGCAAGCAGCAAGTCTGCCACTAGGCACTCAGTGGAGAGAATAGTATCAATTAGTAACGGAAAATGAAAGATAAATTATAAAAATAAATTTCTTGTTTACGAGAAATATTTTTTGAGTTGCATAAAATCTCAAGCGCTAAATGAAGCTAAATTTGATTCCACAAATAATTTAAAACAAAAAAATATGTATTTTGATATGCCCTTAAACAAAATCAGAATAATCATTTCTTAAATTGGATTTTCCAGCTTGATAACAGAAGATTTTTATAAGCTGCAGATCTAATTTTAAAATTCGTAGCTTCTCTGAGAACTTCTACATTCCAAATTTTAAAAGGGACTTAAATTCAGATTACCATGGAAAAAGAAACCGACTGGTCTCTATTTATGTATAATTATGTTGTTGTTGTAACTAAAAAAAAATATTCCCCAAAATAGTTTTTGGGAATGTTGCGGGAATGACAGTTCTTGGCCGGATAAAAATCCGGGTCGTTCTGGTATAGAGACCAAACTGTCATGGGAACTATTGCATTTTGCTCCCATCTTAGGATAGGCATGCCTTACCGCTTGAACCCCCAACCCGACTTTTCTTTCCTAACGCATAGAGGAGAGAGCTCACAATTAAGAATCATTCGAATAAACATTATTTTCTCCATTTTAATATGGAATGTTAGACATCCCTTTAATTTTAAAAAGCTACTCTCTTACAACAACGATAAATTAGCTTGATAACAGAGGTTTTTTATAAGGTGTAGATCGAACTTTAAAACATGTAGGTTATATAAATTCCTTTACATTTCGAATTTCAACGAGGACTTAAATTAAGATCACCATGAAAAACCCCGACTGTTCTCCATTTATGTCTAATTATGATTTTGCCCTTATCACTAATCTTCTATTGTCCTTTACTAACGCACAGCAGTGAGAGCTCACAATTAAGAATCATTCGAATAAAAATTCTTTCCACCAGTTCACAATTAAGAACCATTCGAATAAAAATTCTTTCCACCAGTTGATCCTAAGGATGCCAGCTTCTACTAGTCTATCACAACAATGATTGTAGGCAACCACTCGAGATGAAAAACATACAGACAGAACTTTTCTAAGTGAAACGAAAAAAATGAAGTTTGTGAATAAATAATATAATATCATCAATTATACCAATATGACAACACACGGAACTTTTTTTTTAGGTAAGCGTTCCAAATCAATTCGTTGATCATCACAGGCTTCCTTCACTCTTCAAGCCCTCACTCCAGGGCAATCGTATAATCTACATATAAAATCAAATTATATGATGTTCCACTTATTAATTGCATTACATCTCACCTTTTCTTGTAAAAGATTGTCAAACGATACAACAATTATTTTTCTCAGTTTAGCACATTTCTTCCACATTAATAAACGAAATTAAAACTGGTATACCACTGTTATAACAGCTGATTATTGTGTACGCATTAGAGTGATGCCACCACGCAAGACGAATTTAACAAGGTGAAATTACTGCGGCAGCTAATTCAAATTCTTTCATTCATGAGCACATGTTGTCTGCTTGAGTTTCAATAGGAATTTTTGAGAAATGTGATTTATGATTGTGTTTAGCGTGATAAAGAGTGGTTTGATAATTCAATTAAAACACAATAATCAATGACAATCTCAAAAACAAATACAAAAAACACAGTAATTGATGTATTTGATCACCTTGGCACCATGGCTATATATACACACAAAAAAAATCTTAACGAGCTTTCCAGATATGTATGCGGGCAATCGGCAGGTTTTTAAGAACAGCAACACTGGTGTGAAGTAAAGTTTGTAAATTGTGTATGATACAAAAACGGAAGGTAGTTTCACTCAATATAAAATTGACAGAAAAGGATATAATGTAAGAATCTTATTTTCATTATAACTTCAAGATATTGCCCCTTTAAAAATATTTCATATATTTTTCAAAAAAAAATGCTGATCCGAATAATAATTTTATTTTCATTAGATTTCAGAAAATACAACGCAAAGCATTTTTTTTAATATATTTTTTTAATTTAAAAAAAATTAAAATTTATTGTTTTATTTGTCAGATTGTTTTTTGTATCACGAAATTTTGTTTTAACGATAAAGAAGCTGAACAATAAATTTGGCGACTTTTACAAAACCTCTTTTAATCCCAAGTATTTGTGACAAATCATCTCGGTTTAATTTTCTAAAATCGTTATAATGATCAACTGAAATTCTTAAATAAATCCCCATGATAATTGCATTTCACAGATTTTGAATGCCAAAATAGTGTAACAAGGGGAATAGAAAGCACCTTCAGAAAGGAAAATGGGGCAATTCATGGATAATTTAGTCCGAGGCTATGTTGTACTGAAAGAACGACAACCCAACTAACTTTACCCGCATCAAAACACCATCCTTCGACGGCACAACTCCTTTTTATGTCTCCCAGCTACAATTCGAAAGGCGACTTCAGCAAACGACTTATACCCCATAAGCATTAAGTTTCTTCCCTGATCGTAGCACGGACATAAACTGTTGCAGAAATATCGCAAACAGCTCCCAAATGTCAGAGAAATCATTTTGAGGTTTCAATGTGACATGGAAATGTGTTACGGAAGGTACATAACCGGAGAACTACTTTCAGATGACAAGCGAAACCCTGCAAGAGATTGAGATGCTGACTTATTTCACCAATCCTCAGAACTTCGAAAGCAAAAAAAAGATCCAGAGATACTTACACGAAATAACGGTGACATAAAGCTATCATCAGCCAAAAATATTATGTTCGGGCCCATTACCCGGACCGCATTTGAGAACAGCAACTGGCCAGGGCGCTAAAGTTGTAGGAGTAACAAGTGAAGGGTCGGAAATTTTTTATAAAATTTTGGTTAGTATGGACTTTTTCCGTAGCCAAGGAAGGATAAAGTAATTGTGGAGTGTTGGAAAATAAAAGTACCACCAAGTTCTAGTTATGATCCTTCGTACTGTAGTAAGTACTCTTTATCAAAAGTGATCAGTGAAAGGGAAGTGTCCGACTAAATGCAGTTTAGAATGGGAAAGAGAACAACCAAAGAAGGCTCAGCAGGGATGCAGAATTTGGAACTCCTGATGGAAGGACTGAATATTTTTAGACGACCGTTCACGAGTAAAAGGCAGCAGAGACTTTAAAAGAAAAAGCCTACGGAACACAATAGACCAATTTGAAGTTAATATACGGATGTTCGCATATAATATTGCAAAGCGAAAATTTCAATGCTCGCGAAATTCAGTCGTAATTCCAAGTAGTCAAACCTCAAATGTTCTGAAACAAGAATTAATTTGATAACTGCAAAAAATGTGAATGTGTGAATTAGTGAGCAGAAGAAACAGTATAATTCGTACAACGGTAAAAATGGTAGACGGACATTAGGAAGAGCAGAGAGTAGTAGGAAGATGCCAGATATTTTATAAAACAATGAACGGCAAAAAGTTTTGGTTTCGAAATTGCAAGTCAACCGAAATGCGAAATAGGAATGTCAAAATAAAGACATAATGTTTTCAAATTTGAAAAAGGCATGCACATATAGTGTACCTTTATTCAAAAAGAAAAGCCTTAACCTCGTACGCCAATGATTGCGTGATAATGACGCCTGGCCAGGATATTGACGACATTTGTTCGATGGTGAAATGCTATCTCGCCAACCTTTCCCACTACTTCATTGCAACACAGCTCAAAATACCACCCACTAATTTCTCGGCTACCCTCATCACCATTTGGACGAAGGAGTACAGGCTCGAATTAGATGTGAATTTCGATGACGTAAAAATACCATAAATAACCCAAAGATATTGGGAATCACACTTGATATCCTACACTCCTTCACTCCGCATACGACAAAAGTCCAGAGCCGTAACAAAATACTCGAAGCGTTAGCAGGCAGCACATCTGATAAAGATGACGAAACCTTGCTGGCAACAAACAATGCAATTGAACGGCCGGTCGTAAACAATGCTGCACCGATCTAGGCGCCGGCAGCTGCCGGCTTGCCAAAACACAACGCTCAAGACGCGACAAGAAACCTCCTGTTGCCGCCGGGATATCAGTTGAACAGCGAAGCATATGTATATGCTACGAGTTTAGGAGCATAATGCTCATCAGAAAGGGAGAAGGAGGAATTAAGGACACCAGCAACACGTGAAACAACCGTTGGACAGGACGGTGTACAGACAAGCACTGAACGCCATTTACCAGGAGCCAGTCAACACCTTCAAAGACTCTCTTCCAGTAAATGGCGTGCTCGGTGTGGATACTGTAGCAGGTTAAAAAAAGGTTTTCAATTTTGTTAACAATTTTCAAAGGGCTGATGTCATGTTCATATATAACTCACACCTAATAAGTTGTTAAATTCTCTGAGACTAATTGGCAATACGCAACCCTTATTACTGGAAGCCACCCAACTTGAGATAGCAGACAAATCAATTGATAATACTGCAGAGTTGGTCTGTACGATCAATAGCACCAGAAAAAAAAAAGCTGAATATCATCAGCGAAACCAACGGCAAATGCCTTACGAGAAAATAATGAGAGCAAATGCAGTTGATTACTTTCCACATTTAATCGGATGTCAACAGTGATTTTAAGTACAGCTGTGGCTTGTCATGAAACCTGACTGAAGAGACGAGAAAAAATTATACGTATTAACATACTCTTTGATTTGTATAGCGATGGGCATCTCGAACACTTTAGACAGGGCAGATAGGGGTCATACGAGCTACAGGAGGAATTCCTTTCAGCAACTGGTAGTACTTTTGCTAATGCCGAGAAAAACAGGACATGGTGATACTCTGATTAATAATACGCGTTGTTGACGTCTATATTACACCGTAAAACTTTACTTGATAGGGTGCAGTTTAGTTTTGATTTTAAGTGAATTTCTTTTTTCATGTAGAGTGCACTTTGTTACGTAATTTTTTTGAATTCAGAGATTTTGAAATTCTAGCAGAGATAGTACGAATGAGCGCATGCCTTTCATAGACGGATTTAAATTTTTTTTAAATCAAGGTCTTCACCGACTGATGGATATAAGAAACATTCATTCCAGACAACATTGTCCAATTCGGGAATAAGTAAATTAAAATTAGCAAAGCGATACTCTCAAAAGACTACAACTAGAGATGTTGTCCAGTAAGTTGTCAGCATATAAGTGCATTTCGTAGCGGAAAAATGAATGTGATCAACGGATAGGTATATATGAGCGGCGGCTGATTCCACACAAAAAGTCAGTTAAGTAGAGAACACACTGATGGGAAGTGAAATGATGAGGGATACACCTAAGGCGATTTTTAAACGACTTTTTTGCGAGTTCAAAAAGTTTTATAAAATATTTAATGAATTAAAATGTATAAGTCAACTTTACTTTTGGTATTATTGTATATATACCTAGTTTTTTCGCTGTTCAAGATTGCCACGTAAATGTCAATATGAATGCCTCGAAGTAAGCCGACTACACCACTTATACCGCAGAGTAACAAAGACCATTCCTAAGCACGATCACTGCTTATATACTATTTTTCATCAATATGTAGGTGAACCCTTTCCCGAAATGAAAGTATTACTAATGATATTTTAATAGGCTACCTGCGAACTACAATAGTTTTCAATCAAATCGAACTTGGTTCCCTGTCACTGGTCGTCTTTTTAATGCTGTCCAAGGAGATTTTAAAGAAGGTGAAGTTGTCACTTCGCATGATTGCTTGTTCTTCCTTCCATTTCAAAAATTTACACAAACAAAATACATGAGAAATAGGTTTTGGCATTTCGAGCGTTCGCTTACTCAAAAAAAAATCTATTGAACTATTTTCGATTTTGACTTTTCGAAACTATGATTACGCAAACAAAATACAAAGGCTTTTTGTTTTTGTATTCTTGCTACTACCGTGTGTGAATTTGCCTTGATGCTGTCAAAAGTTATGAGAATTGTCAGTTCAGATTTTAAATTTATTAAACAATAACTCCGCTGAGATTGTTTTCGGCCCAAATCTACTTCGCAATCTTTGAAGCACACGGAAAGCACCCGCCGTACATGTTTTGATAACGCTAGGATGTGATTATCATGTTGAAATTAGATATTTCCAATTTCGAAATATCAAAATAAAATGATTGTTATTTAAAAACACATTATACATATGTATATGTATCTTACTTCATATTTTACATATGTATTAAATTTTCACCCTTTTAAAATATTCATTGAGAGAGACTTTAAAAAATTTCACTTACCGGAATTTTCGAGGATCTTAAAAACTCCAACAAAGCTTCCAACGAGCCCAGAGTTGAAGCTTGTACATACACACCGGTTTGGGCTAGTTTTATGTGGCTTAAAGCGCTCTTCAATTCACGCGCAACTTCTTCCCTGTCAATTAAAAATTAATATCTCAGAAGTATTCAGAAAGCTATGAATAATAATTACTTGCAAATTTCCACTTCATCCGGTTTGTGCGCAATAAGTAAATTTATACCCGCAATAGCCTTTTCCAAATCTTTAGCCGCAATTTTAACACCCTGCGCTGCCTTAACTTCCTTATATTCAATATAAGCGTTCTTCACACGCAATTCCTTCATAGGTTGGGGCATTAGCAGTGAACGTATTTGCGTTACAATTGGTCCATCGGTACCGGCCGCTATCATAGTTTGACCTTCACGGAGTTTTCCATTTATTAAAATAGCATCGATTGTGGTACCCAGACCCGGAATGGCTTTAACTTCCAATACTGTCGCTTGTAACTCTTCCGAGTACATTAAACGTTTAGGCAACATTTTTTGACAGAACTCCACAATGAGGAACAACAAATTGCCCATACCCTCGCCAGTTATAGCACTCGTGGGTACCAGTGAAACATATGTTTTCGGATCGGGATTTTCATAGAAGAGAGCAGCATTGAGACCTTGTTCTGCAAACTGGAGAATCACATCTTTCGAACGTTGCTTAAACTCAAGTTGAGTATTAGCCTCTTGCTCCTTCAGCACATCGCGCACATCCCGTCGAGCCATTACCTTCCAATCGTACAAACGATCAATTTTATTGAGCGCGACAATGAATGGACATTTCTTCTTTTTAAGTAAATTTATGGATTCAATGGTTTGTGGTTCTAGGCCATGCATAATGTCCACCACCAAAATAGCAATATCACAAAGTGATGATCCACGATTTCTCAAATTACTAAACGATTCGTGACCAGGTGTATCAATTATCAATAAACCGGGCAATTTAAATTCGAAACTCGATGAATTATGTACTGGTTTAGTTTGCTCCTTTATTGCGTCGATTGGGACATTGGTAGCACCAATCTGTTGTGTGATACCGCCCGCTTCAGAATCTTGAACGTGGGTTCGTCGCAATTTGTCGAGAATCTTTGTTTTCCCCGTATCGACATGACCAAGTACGCACACCACAGCAGCTCGCAGATCTTCGACTGTTCGCTTCTTCTCTGCATCGTCCTGGCGTTTCAGAATACGTGCTTCAGCACGTAGTCGACGTGCTTCTGCGTCATTTGCATTAATAGCTTCCTCCTTCTCCGATTCTGAATCAGAGCCTTCTGACTCATCCTCGGAGTCATCATCATCTTCAGATTCCTCGTCGGAAGACTCCTCGGCATTAGCAGCACTACCTATAGTTGCAACCTCACCACCGCTATTAGATTTTTCATCATTGTTCGTCGTAGTGGTTGTAGCTTGCGAAGTATCATCATCTCCATTGGCTTCTTCCTCCGAGTCGCTGGCATCCCAGGAATCTTTGACTATTTCCTGTTTCTCAGCTGCTTCTTGCTGGGCTTTAGCAGCTGCTGCAGCTTCCTCAGCAGCCTTGGCATCAGCTTCCGCTTGTTCCTCTTTGCTGGCAGGACCTTTCTTCTTGGGACGTATGCGAGTACCTACAAAACACACACGGAATTAATAATTTAGCTTAAATATATTTTATTATAGGGAAACACCTAATCTCGTCGGTCGTTTTTCAGTAGGATCGGGTATTTCTAACCCCTGAGCTTTTAAAGCTTCAAGCATTGCTTGTGCGCGCGCTCGTTCTTCTTTTTGTTTTTTGGTTAAGAGCTTGCCTTCCGCCTTAAGACGAGCCTTCCGCTCTGCTTCTTTTTGTTTCTTTTTTTCTTTGCGTTCAGCCTCCAATCTGATAGCTTCCAAGCGTTGCCGTTCACGTTCCTCTTCCTGGCGCATGCGTTCTTCTTCAAGTCTTTGTTGACGTTCTTCTTCCTCCTTGATTTGTTTCAAACGTTCCTGCATAGCAGCCACCATAGCTGCTGACATGCCCTTCTTTTTACTATCTTTTTTAGTTTCCTCTTCTTCTGCTTTTTTATCTTTTTTACCCTTCTTCTTGTTCTTTTTATCCTTAGCCGCATCTTCTTCAGCCACACCAACTTCCTCATTATAACCGACATCAGCGCCAACTTTTAGTTCTTCAGTCTTTTCTTCCGTAACTGCCGGCTCAGGCAATTCATCTGTCTTTCCAGTAGGCTGAAGTTTAGGTTGCTGTGCACCGCGTTGCTTTGCCAAAGCAGCTTCCCGTTTTTGTCTTTCCTTTTTTTCCTTCTTTTTTTGTGCTGCTGTCTTAACCGTTCCGCCTTCTTCATCGTCACCGCCTTCGTCATCATCACCAACCATAACTTCATCTGCATCATCTGCGGGTGCTTCCATATCTGCCTTTTGCTTTTTACCTCTATTTTTTTTCTTTTTAGTGAACTCTTCATCTTCTAAATCCTCTGGTGAAACAACGTTTGTTGCTGGAGCTGTGGCCTCCCCAGCATATTCTGCTTGTAATTCCGCTAAGATTTTATCCAAGTCTTCGTCTTCATCTTTTCCTCTTTTAGCTTTTTTCCCCTTTTTGCCGGTGTTTTTGATTTCTTTCTTTGTTGGTTTATTAGGTTTTTCTTCTTCAACTACTTCATCTTCCTCTGCTGGAGGCTCGTAATCTTCACCGTCATCGTCAGCAGCCAGCAGTTCGAAAGCAGATTTCTTTTTATTACCTTTTTTCGATTTAGGTGGTATTTCGTCCACATCATTTTCTTCAACTTCATCATCTGAATCAATTTGTTTCGATTTGCCTTTGCTTTTGGGCTTGGTCTTCAGATCTAACTTCTTTACACCAGATGTGATATTGCCCACATCATCCTCCGTCTCTTCGGAATCTTTGCGATTTTTCTTATTCTTCTTCGAGGTTTTTTGTTGATTCTTCTTGTTCTTCAGACTTACATTGTCTTCTTCGGCATCGGAATCGATGTTAGTTTCATGCAAATCCGTTTGGTCCCTACAACGTTTTCAAATATAAATAGTAGCTATTTTAAAATCTTTCAAATATAAGCAAATAAAAACAAATTTATATATGTACATATACAAAAAAAATCGTTTGGTCCAAACTGAACGAGATTTGACAACACAGCAATTCTTCCGTACGCTTTCACGTTTTCTAAACTTGTTTTCACCTGTTAGTAGCATACATAACCCTTCGGTACTCATGTCATGGCCTCCAATTCAAATCGAAATTTTTTGTATATAATTGGATCTCAAAATGATATCCTGCTGCACTTACATTTCATCACCGGATGAAACGCCTCCAGATGCACTGGTTGCTATCTCTTTCTTGCCCTTTTTAGCCTTAACCATTTTTCCTCGCGCAATTTCAACACGTTCAGCCGCCGCTGCCGCTCCACGTAAATACAATCGAAATAACTCCCCGATTCAATCAACTTTACTGTTGTTGCAAACTGTTGCTATGCGTTGCTGATGATTTAAAAGTAATAGCGTTTCTTAAATTCACTATCTCAACGTCAAATTCAATACTTTTACTTCTCGTTAATTTATAAATATTCTTTCCAAATATTTGCAAAGCAAAAAGTCTGACCAAAACGCAAAGCACGTAACTCGACACAAGAAAAGTGTGGTGCGAGGTTGATGCACGAAATGTCAATTGGACGGTATGTGTTGAGCGGATTTTGACATTAAACATACCAACAAAATATAATAAGATTGTATCAAAATTTTTCGATATTGACCAATTCACAGGGGGCCACACGCAGATGGATTTTCTACAAGTTTTGAAAAGAGACAAGTTCGGACCGTTTTTTCGAGTGCCTTTTGATGTGAAGATCACGAAACAAGCAGCTAACGATATAATAAATTCCTTTTCATTTTCTCGACCTTCTGTTAAATATTTATTAAATATTAGATCGCAGTGCCGCGAAGAGGAAGAAGGGAACAACGGAACTTGGCCGTAGCTCTCTGGTAGTCTTTATGCTGCATCTACTGAACTCACGTACCAGCCATCCATAGCAGACTATCTTATGAGAGCGCCATGTAAACACAAAGCTGTCACCGCTTGCCCATGCCATTAGTGACAGTTGTTCCCAAGCCAACGGCTTATAGTCGAACACATAAATTATGAAATTTTTAACAATTGTGCATGTGTCTTGCTCCTGACGTTACCTATTATGGACGGCTGGTAAGTAAAATGGGTAGTTGGAGCATAAATAAGAGAACGTATATGCAACGAGAAGGTCCAGGGCGTGCCGACTGTCATTTTTTCCATTCTGCTCTTTGTGAACGTGAAGGCAGAACATAAAGTAACGTATTTATGTTCTCTGGTGAAGGGCGACACAAAAAAGAAAATTACGATAATAAGCGACAAAAGTATCCTCATGTAAACTCAAACTTTGTCATAAGGGGTATTTTCGAAACTGTTTATATTGTTAACCCTGTGACTCTTAATTTCATTCCGCTGGTGTTTGTTTTCTGCTGTAAACATAACTTTTTCCGGCTTCCTTTTTAAAAAGCTTTTATTTAAGGCTTGACTTGATTTGTTTAATCCGTTTTATTGCAGCTATAAAAGAACTAACATTTATTTGAGGCTCTTTTTGTATCATGCACCAGCCGGGAAGTATTGCAGAAGAATTGCCAAGTACATCAGAAATAGCAGTTGGCGGAGAGGTAAGAATGTAAAGTGAAGCGATGCATTAATCTTCATCTCATGAATATGTGCATTGCTACAGGTTAAGAAACCCGATACTCAAACGGATAAAACCTTTTCACGTTGTCATTCAATTGTGCTCACTGAAGACGACTATAAGCAAACAATTTCAGAGACTTATCAGAAGCGTTTACAAAATTTACGAAAGGAGTTAAATTACATAAGTGAAACAGACTGGATGTATGAGTCTTTGGACAAAAAAGGGATATAAAATATAATCCGTTGAGGATACACCTAAATTATTGAAAGTTAGATGCACGTAATTCTTTAACAGCAGAAATGTTATCGTTTTTAAAGAATCTGTGGGACTCTATGGATGCTGAAAAGCAAAAACGTATATATGCTGGAAAACTTGAGGACGAACAAAGGCACCTGGATGCAGAAATTGAAAAGGAGGAGATTGAAAAGCACAAAAACGGCGATGCTTCAGGTATGCAGAATATATTAGCAAGCGTGAATAGAACACAAAATGACAATAAGAAAAATGAAAATGAGGATAAGTGTTTCGAAAGGTTTGGTAAGTTACAAAACTTTATTTGGTGGTAAATAATGTAAAAATAATCATATTCCCTTAGGCGTTATAACTACGTTGACAAGTAACCATGGAACTATTGACCATGCCATCTTTTTCGACATCAGCTCCGCGGGCGGATTAGCAAGTGAGCTCAAGGTTGGGTGTCACGTAAAATACTTGGCTTTTCAACAAACTCATAGTGATCACATAAAAGTCGTACAAATCAAGGAAGTGCCGGAATCATTTTGGGACGAATCTATGTCAACTAACGAAAAGGTATCAAATCAATACCCATTCATAATATTTCTGGATGATAAATACAAATTATTATGTTATCAAAACAGATTGATGAGCAAATAGCTGAGCTGCGTAATGAGAAGCCAACATTTTTCAACACGCATCAACGTAACATACTTGGTCTAATAATGGAGCGTAGACCGGGTGCTATAATTGTTGATACCGAGCATAAGCTAATGAACATCAATCTAGACACAGTGGAAATAGATTTCATACCACAAGCCGGCGATCGCGTCTTCATCTGTTGCAATGTACAAAGTGATGAACACTTTGTTAATCTACAAGGTGAAATACTACAAGAAGTGAGCGTTCATCCGGCACGTTTACTCAAGCAAGAAAAATGTGAAGTACGACGCCTACACGCAGACTGGGGAGTATTAAACGAAGATTGCTTTTTCACTTTTGATGTCGTACCTAATGCATGTAAACTCAATCTTGGTGATATTGTGCTTGCGGACCTGATCGAATGCGAACGAGTAAATATCTGGAACTTAATTAAATACAAGTTTACAAATTTATTACTAAGTCTTTCACAGGATCCATACATTTGGCGTGTAATTAAGTTAGCTTTACTGGAGCGCAACCTACCACAGGCCACTACTTCCGCCACTACCGGTATACCTATGAATGGGGAAAGACATTCAACAACCAAATCACGCAACGAAAGTAATCATGCAATTACTGTTTCTGAAGATCAACGTTGCATTTTTTCGGCAACATTTCAGACCCAAAAGCTTGAGATGGTGGTTAAGAATAATGTAGATCGTACGATACGTGTACTATCAATAGAATTTTTAGGTCGCCGACGTGATTCACAAATTAAACTTATTGATCCAAATCATAACGATACCGCCTTTGAGTTGCCAGGCCACAGTAGTCGCACACTCGTATTTGAAGTAGAATCAAAATCATATGGCGAAACACGCGAAGTTTTCCTTATCAAATTCGAAAACTTTCGCGTGAAGCGATCCATTGTTGTGGTGGTGTGCGAGACTGAAGCCGAAGCTGAAGTTGCGCGTGCTCAACCTAACCAAAGTATTACAGGTATGGGAAATAATGCTGGTATGCAAAATATGCGACAGCGTTCACGTCACTATGCCAATCAAGTGTGGTCAAATAAAGGTGAAGTAATACCGGGTGTAGGTTTAGCCACGAAGCGTCGCTTTTTGGCACATCGTATTGCCTTTTATGAAGTACCCGAGCGCTTACGCAATGCATACTTGACATCAAACAGTCGGCAGGAAATGACAGAAAGCGTAGAGAGTATGTTTCCTTGCTTGAAAGAGGAGCTCAATTTGAAAAACTACTCTATACGTTTTCAAACATTGGTCTACCTGGAAGAAATCGAATATTTTATAAACTTCCGTAATTATGATCGTGAGCGTGCACATTTCACTCGCGATGGTGAGTTTCTATCACTGACTATTGAGAATCTCTCTGAACGGCGTCCGTCACTTGTTATTGGGGACACAGTGCGCGCCATTAATCCATGGTCGAATGAAAATGATAATCGCAGCTATGATGGCGTCATACACAAAGTACTTTTTAATCGCATTTTACTGAAATTCAACGATGGCTTTCAGTCCAAGTATAACGGCGAAGATTTTCGCTTGGAGTTCTATTTTTCCCGCTTTGCATTTCGTAAACAACACTATGCAGTCAATCGTATAATAAAACATGTTGGCGAACAATTCCTTTTTCCCTCTCGTGTGCATACGCGTGAAGAACCGCAATTACAAATAGAGTTGGACAGTGACGATAATCTCATTTTACACGACACAAAATGCCCCTGGTTCAATCCAGTTTTGAATCCTATACAAAAACGTGCCATACGCAATATTTTGCGTGGTGAAGCGCATAATATGCCTTATGTCATTTTCGGTCCACCCGGCACAGGCAAAACAATGACACTCGTTGAAACGATGTTGCAGCTAGTCAAACATTTGCCCAGTTCGCGCTTACTTATCGGTACACCCTCTAACGGTTCTGCGGATTTAATTGCTACCCGTTTAATAGAAAGCAAACAATTGCAACCAGGCGATTTTGTGCGCTTGGTTTCTCAAAATCAAATCGAAAAGGAACTTATACCCGAGCATCTGATGCCGTATTGCGCCACTGTGGATATGGCAGCCGATGGCACTTCTGACGATTCGGTTGGTACATTTTTACTATTTTATCTTTTTTTTTTATATACATATTTACATTTCCGTTTTAGATGATCGTTACAGAATCGGGCATGAAATTGCGATGCCAAATGAAATATCTCGGCCGTCATCGCCTCACAATCAGTACTTGCACTACTTTGGGGAATTTCCTACAAATGGGTTTCCCACCTGGCCATTTTACACATGTGCTTATCGACGAGTCTGGCCAGTGTACTGAGCCCGAAGTGATGGTGCCCATATGTTTGGTTTCACAAAAACGCGGCCAAGTTATATTAGCTGGTGATCCACATCAACTTCAAGCGATAGTAATCAATCGATATGCCTCAGATTGCGGCCTATCTCTCTCTTTTTTGGAACGCATACTAAGCCGTACGCCATACTTGCGTGATGTAATGCGTTTCCCCGATACATCCGGTTTTGATCCACGTTTAGTCACAAAACTACTATATAATTACCGCTCATTGCCGTCCATACTTAATGTGTATAGTGAATTGTTCTACGACTCTGAGCTGCGTCCTATGGTGAAAGAAAAAGACTCTCGTGAAGCTGAAAAGTTGCAGAAGTTGGATGTGCTGTTGCCACCCTCGGAGAAGCGACCCAAGTCACATGGAATTTTCTTTTACGGCACACGTAGTGAAAATAAACAGGAATCGGATTCACCTTCGTGGTTCAATCCATTAGAAGCACGAAATGTATGAAGTACACTAGTTAAACAATTTTTAAAATTTTTTTGGTAATTTATTTTAATTAATTTTTTTTTTTTTACTTTTTGTAGGTCTTCCTGATGACCATCAAATTGTATCGACAAGGCATTAAACCTGAAAATATTGGTATTATAACGCCCTACATGAAGCAAGTGAAACATTTGCGCACTCTTTTCATCGAAGCCGACATTGCCATGCCGAAAGTAGGCTCCGTCGAAGAATTCCAGGGACAGGTACTTTACTTTTCAATAATGAGCGTTTAAGATATATAATATTAATAATTGTCTTTATTCTTTTTAACCAAGGAGCGTGACATTATCCTTATCTCCACAGTGCGCTCTGCAAAAAAACTGATTAACAACGACTTGCGCCATTCGCTCGGCTTCGTGCAGAGTGCCAAACGCATGAATGTCGCCATTTCGCGTGCTCGCTATCTCATGTTCATATTTGGCAATCCACATTTGCTTTATTTGGATCACTGCTGGCGTACTTGCATTAAATACTGTGTGGATAATGAGGCATATTTGGGTTGTGATTTGCCGGACGATTTCGAAACTAGACCAGAACTCAATGAGGATAATGAGACGGAAACCGAGTCTATAGCGAAATCTCCATTACCTGCTTAAAGTTTACATGTTGAGAAAAATATGGAAATGGAAAGTTTGCAGGAAATATGGTAGCACTTACCTATTTCCCTATTTAGTTTTTTATATATTATAATATTTAGAATTAGTTTTAATCTTACTACCAGAATGTTTGCTTTGTAAAAGTAGATGTTCAACTCATAATTGATTCCAATAGATCTTATATAAAATGTATGGGAAGTACTTGCCTTTGTCTTGTAGCTTTTGAATTCTGCGCTAAAACTTTTAGCGGTTTTATAATTGACCGCGGTGAAGTAGTGAACTAAGTGTCACTAGTGCTCTGATATCCTAAATTGGTTTTACTCTAAAGACAACATTTATAATTTGCGGCTAACATAACCATGCAGACTATCTTCATCCACTTTTTGTGGACTCCATCCCATTTGATGAATCACATACCCACATAAAATCTGAGATCCCACTAAAGTTTAAAATATCTGAATTGAAAGTAGTCAACAAATGGAATTATATTTACACATTTTCTATTATAATTGCTACTCTATTGTTATTGAAGCATTTTACAACTTTTTTGTGAATTCCTTCTAGCTTTCATAATTTTTGAGGTTATAAATTGATGCGATGAATATAAATAATTTTCGAGTTTTTGAGTTGCTGTTTGCAGAGTATAAAAATCAATGTAAACTTCTAGTTTTCAGCCTAAGAAATTCTAGGAATTATGCTTTAAGAGCGCCTATACTATATACTGAATATATTTTTTTATGATATATACAAAGTTTAATAATAATTTTCAAAGAATAATCCAAATGAGTTTAATAAACATTTATTTCAATTTGAACGTTTTAGATATACATGCTCACATACATACATACATATTAAGACAGCACAGTTGATGCTTTATATCTTTCTTTGTGCTTTTTATAAAAAGAGAAATAAAATAAAATAAAATAAATATTTTTGAACAAAGTGAAAAAATTACGTACAAATAATTAATAAATAGCAGTAGCGGTAAGGGCCGCGCAGACATGCATCGAATAATAGGGTACAAATATAAAAAAGTAGCGTAGAGGTAGGTAAAACAAAAAAAAAAAAACAATAACATTAAGCACATAATATAAAGTCAGCCTTGAAAAAAGGTCCAAATTTAAAAATTTAGTATATCGACTTTGCATTATGTTTTTGTGTTTGGCAGCGCCGCTTCATCGCGTATATGAACTGGCAGTTTTATGTGTTCATTTTCCATAGAGACCTAAAATCAAAATATAATGTTTTAACTACTACTTTATGGTTTTATATTTCATATTACTGTAACATATATTGGCTCCTGCCTATTGTCCAAGGTTAATTTTTCTACCCGCAATTTCACCTCCACCTCCAAATGACCACCATCGGGCTCCACGTAACCCTCCGAGGGTGTTATCTGCAACAAGTTCTTACGATTCGAGTTAACCTCAAAATATTGACGCGACTTGAATGAGTTGCAAATGTAGATCGAACAGCTTAGCGTTTGCTTTTCCCCGCGTAGACGAAAATTCAATGAACTCGGCAAAACAGACCAGCAACAGGCTTCGCCGCCACGTGTTGGTGAGTGATTTCTATTGGCCGCTTGCTCAACCTCCTCCTCGGTGAGTTCATCGACACGGTCTAAGGCCTGTCCTGAGCCGTCAGCATTGTGGCTGTGCGATGGACTGCATACGGTACGAAACAATACAGTTTCGTCCTCGTCGGGAAAGCAAAACGAAGAAGTAGACTTTATTGTCTCATCTAAGTAGTCGTCGTTAATAGTAAGTGCCACTTCATGTATGCGCATGTGCGTCAGTAAATCGTATGTTAAGGCGGGCGATTCCTTGAACAAACGTAGCTCTTCAATATTCTTCTCGCCCGGCATTTTCTCCCATAAAGCCATTAAGGATTTGGACGTACTGACACTGGCACGCTCTGTAGGTGTCATGCGTTCTACCAATTGACGCATGCGTTGTCTGTTCGCTTCATCACCGGATATTAAACGCAAGTTTGCTAATGTCAGTACAGATTTAGTTTGGCGTGTTATTTTTCGAACATCTTCACGCTGTGGACGAAATACAATGCTCAAAGTAGACGACGAGCCCGGCGGTATGAGCATGGCGGTAGGTTGGATCTCAAAAGCGGTGCACAGACGTGGTAATCGCAAACCAACCGAATCGATGGACGCGATTGCAAACCCAAGTAGTGGTCCTTTATTGTAGACCCGTATAGTGCGCTGTATTGGCTGTGATAGCTCATGCAAATAACCCATTTGTATAAATGCCATGCCTATCGGTGCTATGTTCACTTCCTGCGCCACAATACTACAATGACCGCCATATCCGTACAATGAGATATCAAGAAACGAAGACATACTAGCTGTAGCGGCACTATTATAAGCAACACTGGCATTTTGTGGCGCGTAAAATGAAAGTTTGCCTACAGCGGCACCTATGACGGTCGGACAGAAACTGACGGTAATTGAGCGACATTCTTGAGACTGCAGTGTTAACGTGTTATTGCTAGGCACATTGACTAACTGATAACCAGGTCCATGTACATCGATACGTAAGGTAAGTTTCTTACTAGCTGTATTCTTTACTTGCATTGTCTTATGAGCAGCATTTCTCAGGCGCGTACTGCCCCAAGACAAGTCTACGGCTGTTACCTTTAATGGTATGCCATTTCCATCACGGTGACTGAATTCGCTGTTGCTGGAGCAGCGAGAGACACTGCGCGCTACACCGCCGCCGCCGCCACTTCGTAGCGAACATGCGCTTGCGGTGCGCATAGGTACTTTCGCATTGGTTTCACTTGTCCCCGGTGAGGATACGGTACGTTGTATTTTCGATCCACCAACGTTGGTTCGCGGCATAGCACGCGGTTGCGGTGAGCAATTTTTACAAATTCGAGGTGAATTTCCATCATTTTCAACGCCGAGAGTTGAAGGTGATGGCTGTGAAGATAGGTAAGTCTGTGTTGGCGATTGTGGAATAGCCAACAGATCACTATAGGTACTGCCATTCGCTATTATTGTGCGTTCAACGGTATTACATTTCGACGGTATCAGCGATTTCGAAAGATTAGGCGAGACAGCAATAAAACCATAGTCACTTTTCTGTTCATCCAGTCTTGTGGAACAAAGCGGTTTATCTCTTGTTTGCTCTGTTGGACTTGGCCCGGAGGGGGAACTAGAATTTCTTTTGATTGTGGTTGTTTTGTTATTAATATTTTGGGTTTGCTGTGATGAGTGTGACGCTCTTCTCGTACTGGATTCATTTGCTCTAGGATTTATTTTATAGTCTAATCTCTCCGGTGTTTTGAGATTTGTGGATTTCGCTTCATCTGCTTCGTTTACAATGTGATCGGATGAAATTCGTACAGTGGGTAGTTTTAATGGGCTTAAAGGAGAGCGTGGGTTGGCTGTACTTTGTTGCAATTCTTTAAGATCGCTATTATCCAGCAGCGATTCAGTAAAACTTATAGTGTCAGCTTGAGATTCCATTCCACGCATTCTTTGCGGATCTAAATTTTCCTTATTTTCTGACAATAATTTTTCTATGGTTTTTAGACTACTTCTGTATTGTTCAATAGATTGTCTCACACTCGCATTAGCATACTGTTCTTTATGTACTGGTACAACGGGTTTTTCGGGACTTAATTCCTCCACAACGACTCGTTCATGACGTATTGGTGATTTGTTAGGTTTTGGTTTTTTCAACAAATCGATTAAATCAGTTGAAGAGATGTCCAGGTTTTTAGCTAAAAATAAATGCTATTATCTATCATTAACACACAAATAAGATAAATACAATAATGAGTTCCTGAACTCTTCTTAACCATTCATCTTGCTGAGTTCCATTTCTAATACTTACTAAATGCTTTCTTAATGTGTGATAAAGATAGTAAGTAGGATTCATCATTTTCCTTTGTGCCGATTCCTGGATCTGCATTCCCATGCTTTTCTCGAACGTTCTTTTTATAGTCTTCTAGGGTTTTACAAGCTCTGATCGGAGCTTTGCTATAGGTTTTGTTGTCTATTTGTGGAGTGAGATCTCCATTTTTTGCAGATTCATTCAAATTGGTTTTATCTATGGGCAGACATAAACTGAGTGTACTTTGTGTGTCATCAACTAACGCTATTGGTGACCGTACACGCTCGGGACTGAGTGTTCCGACAATATTTCGTAAATTTTCTGAACGTTGATTGAAGAAATTGCCCACCGAGAAATTGGGATCACGCAAAAAAAATGAGCTGAAAAAAATAATGACAACCTTTTCTCAACTGCTAAACATTTTAACCAATACCTGTTTGGATTAGACTGTAAATCAAAATCCTTTGTATCGGAAATTTTTTCATTACTCCTTTTATTTGGAACGGCTCTTGGTATTGCTGCAAACTCTTGTGCCCAAGCTAATTCGTCGACTAATAGTTTAGATTGCATATTTTCAGCAGGTTCAAATTCTTCGGAATTAATTCCAGATACATTTGTCGAACTAAACGAAAATTGACCGCCTACTGCTTTACCAAAAGTGGCCTGAGATGAATTAAGAGACATGTCAGCCGTTCGAAATAAGCTTTGAGGATTATTTGTGCTTAAAGTTGTACCGGATTCAGTAGAGCGATCTTCTAACACCTCACTAAGATTTCTCGCTTTGGGAGCAAAGGAAGTGGCAAGGATGTCACCCACAGACAGGCGACTTGATGTGGACTCAATACTAATTTTTGGATTATGTTGTGATTTCCTATCCTTATAGTGTGTAGAGCGCCCAGTTATTTCAGATGGTTCAAATGATACTTTTGAGTTATTAGTCATCGATAAACTTTTAAGATCCAAATTTATACTTTCCTCGGTAACTAAGTCGGATATGTTAATTGAATCGGGGCGATGGTAGGGTACATATTCGGTGTAATTTAATTCTGCAAAATTACGTCTTGTAAAAAATAAAAAGAAAAAAATTTAACCTTACTCATAGATGATGTCAATCCTGCATCAGGAATTCGTAAATCCTTTTTAAGCCCTTGTTGAATTATTTTGCTTACATCGGACTTCACTGACTTGTTTGCTTTCTCCAACGTCTCCAACGCTCTAAGTCGTTCGTTCTGTTGATTGAATCATAACGATTATGTACAAAATATTGGTACAAAAACACTTACGTTTAAACGTTCATTGATTGGTTTGCTGCCCAATGAGGATGAATTGGCAGTTTCTCCAAAAGCTATATGAGTATATACACACGCAAATATTGGTAAATTATGAGACAGATTTCCTTTTTATGTTCAACGATTGTTTACCTTTTAAACTATCCAAATTCAATAGACCTAACGAATCTGTTAAATCGTTTGTGTTGGCGCCGGCATTCTTATCCATTTCGTTCTGGGAACAAAAATAAATGCCTTTTTAAACTAGTATCACCCAGTCCAAACCAGACAGTAATAAAATTCCTTCACAGATTATTCCGGAAAAACTTTAAATATAATCCGTTTGGTGTAGTAAATTAATAACTTGTTATTTCATGAGCACCTCTATACTTGCAATCATATTAAAGTATATGTTATATCAATAAATATACAGAAAAAACTCAATCAAGGAGAAATGAATATTCCTAAGGTTGGCGCAAATCGGGTTTAAATTAAAATGGTGGACATTTGAGCTATGACGAAGCAGGGTTGTAATTTGTGGCAAATCTGAAGTACTGTGGCGAAAATTCCTAATACTATTGACAGATGAAGAGGAGGTGCCGATAATAAGGGAACATACGACGTCGATTACCGCATTGTTGAATAAAATAACTACATTTTGTTTACTTTTTCTTATATATTTGACATGCGTCTACTTTTAGGTCCGCTTTCACAGTCCGATTGACTTAACCTTTAACCGAAGGATAGCTAACCGATAGGTAGTCGGATGTAACACTTTCGTTATCACTAAGTTCTGGCAAAGAACGTATATTAATTAATATACGTTCTTTGGTTTTGGCTCCGTTGCCAATTATCGCAAAATCCGAGTTAGAAAGTCGCATAATCGCTAGTGCAAGCGACAAAATTACAAGTTTGCGATCCAGTAAATTGTGTGGAAAAAGTTACAGAACAGCACAACTGATATCACTCTTTAAAGATGGAGAAGAGGAAACATCTTTAATAGGTCTATTGGTTGTTGTTGTTGCAGCGGCTACGTTAACCCCGCATAGGGGCAGATTAAAATAAACCTAAGTCGTCAAGGTCATCTAATGAGAGGTCCAGGAAACGTGCTGGTTTTGACCAGTGAGCGTTTGGAAAATAACTTAGTTTATCAATGACATTAATCATCAAACAGTTCAATGAGCAGTGCTAACACAACTCTTTGAAGATCTTTCAGCAATTGTGGTGTAATAAGGTCATTTGCAAGCACCTATCTGCCCCTTTTTCTTTACTACGCCGGAGTTTTTGTTTTACTGATTCTTCTATTTCAGTGATTGTTATAGTTTCTCGGAAGTTTTTATTAAGACTGGTGAATGGTCAGAGGATAAGTCAACAACATTCACAGTTGATATAAATTGTTGGATCATTTTTCTTGAAACAGCGAAGTCTATTAATTCGGATATTTCCCTCCGCTCAATAGGCCAATATGCTGGTTGACTTGGAGAAATACAGTCTAAATTCTTACTATTATTTAAAATAGTTTTGTAAAACTGGCGTCCTGCAGTTATTAATCGAGACCAAAAATAAACATACTCTGACTATAAATATAATCCATAGGCTATAAAAAATACTTAAATTTTACAATTTTGAATCGCACAGTAAAGGCACAGCTGAGAAGTTTAGCCCTTTGGCATAATTATTCAAAACTACAGATCTATAGCGATTTATGTTAGTTGACTTTATATGCATTCCAATAACAAACATCACGTCCGCTAATTTTTTTTATTTTCCTAGAGTATTCACGGATGTGGTGGCCGCGGTAGCCGTGTGATAGCATTGCGTACTGCCATTGATGCTACCAACATCCAAAAGTATGCCATTCGGAAGCGGCTTAGTATAAACTGTAGGTTCCTCCATTTGTTGGAAAAACAAGAAGACGCAAAACATCAAATTGGAGAGATAACTAAAGCGCGTTCGGGAACGCGAGTATCGAATATTTTCTTACGTGCTAGAAATTTGTAGAATTGGTTACGAGCATTCGGCGAGTTATATAATAGAGCTGCGAACGGAACGCTAGTCAGTGACGAAGTTGGGAGCAACATCAGCGCAAAGTTAAACGAAGTAAACTGTGTGTTTGCGTGAAATAGTAGAACATTACTTACTTCACTGGCGTAGACACCAGTACGGGATTATAGCCCAGTTAACAAAGTTGCGCCATTCGTTTCGCAGTTTGCTGTTTGGCGCCAATGAGGAATCCCAAGTACAGCCAGGTCCTTTCTCTAACAGGTCTTTCCAACGGAGTAGGGGTCTTCCTCTTCCTCTGCTTCCACCAGCGGGTACTACATCGAAATCTTTCAAAGCTGAAATATTCGTATCCATCTGTACCACATGACCTAGGCTGCGTAGCCGTTGCTTGTTGATTCGCTGAACTATATCAATTTACTCGTACAGCTCATCGTTCCATCGTCTTAGATATTCGACGTTGCCAATGCGCAAAGAACCATAAATCAAACGCAAACCTTTCTCTCGAAAAATCCTAACGCCGACTCATAACATGTTGTCATCGTCCATGTTTCAGCACCATATGGCAGATATGATAGTGTGATGACAAAAGATATTTCGTCTTGCCCTCGTTCACTACCCATACCTTCGCTTCGCTTCCTTATCCAGTCTGGAGAAACCAGAACTCAAGGCGCGGTTTTTGAGCCCAATAATGTCAATATCTTTGGCGTATGCCAGCAATCTTGTAAAAAAAGATTGAACCTTCCCTATTCAGCTCTGCAGCTTGTGTTATTTTCTCCAGCAATAAGTTAAAAACTCACACGATAAGGAATCACCCTGTCTGAAGCCTCGTTTGGTTTCGAACGGCTCGAAGCGGTCCTTGTCGATTTTGACGGAGCTTGAGTTAGAGTTATAATATATATCATCGTGTACATTAAAGCGAATTGTTATTCATTATACAAGAAATAAATGTTAATTAAGTTCTTCACAAAAAAGAAATTGTACCACAACTGTTAAGACTTATATTTAACAATCCGGTGACGAGCTCGATGGATTTAGCGAAAATCGTTACATTATTTATCGGAAATTTAAAAAAGAGTTGCATTCATCTGATATTCCATCTCTAGCACTACTTTTCAGAATTTTTCTTTTCTACAACGAGTCAAAAACGGAAAACAACGAAAGTAAAACGAAGGCAGTCAATTATTCGGATCATCCACATATTGGAATTATTTTTTGCGCAATATACAAGAAAAAGCTTTCAGTCGATTTTTTTGTGAGTTATTTTTCTTCAATCATTCATCGAAAATCAACTGCCCGGTGAGGTAGTGTGAGAAATTTTGTAGCGATTTGGTTATCTATTTGCAAAATAATTATCTGCAAAAGTAGAAATTGCAATACATATATTTCTTAAGTCCACGTCTATTCGTTTGTTTGTACGTGCGTGTAAAAAAACGAAGGAGCAAAAAAGCAAGAAATTGTTTGAAAAGTAGCAAATAACTGGTGACTTTCTTGCCGACGAAGCGAAATTGGAATAAATAAGTGATTTGTGAAAATATAAAGCAAATTATAAGAGAAAATGGAGCAAATGACTCAAATTATTACAAATTTGTTGTCTTCGGATAACGATACAATCAAGAAGGTATGTATAAACATACATATGTAATGCATAATAAACGCATGCTTTTCTCGTCAAATCCATGAAAAATGGTATGTAGAGGCATAAATTGGCTGTATCAGGTTAAAATATAAATAGTAGTTTGGAATAAATTAATGCCAAGTTCAATTAATGAAAGAATATGCTATTTATTGAATATAAGTTGACCATAGGGAAGGGAAAGTAAAGTAATGGTAAAGATAAAAAGCACGTGGATGCTCGCCATCATCAGGTCGCACACTTCCCATTCATTCGTTGATTCATATGTCTTTCTTAATGTCAGTACACATGTTTCATTATCTTCTCGATTTAAATTTTTTTGCCGCGTATGCTATTTTCAATTCAAATTCAAATGTATGTATGTACATAGGTAATGTAGCTTTAATATATCCAACATATATGTATATTCACATATTTGTAATGTTTTTTTTTTAATCTTGAAATATTCCCAAGAAAAATTATATTCTGTAAAACAAACTTACTTCAGATGTTAATTAATACCTTTTAGTGTTAATGAAAGAAAACAAAAATTGATAATATTTGGTATAAAACCAGCATAATGACATTCAAAATAACTTTGAAACACGTGTTCGCAAATTTTCTAATCTGAATGTATTAAAAAAGAGGATAAAGCGTAATCGAGAGTGCACAAAGTATGCGAAGCATATAATTTAACACCCACCCATTTAATGTGCTGTGCGTGTTCCGACCGGTTTCAACTATACCGGCCGGTTGGCACAGCACCACGACAAATGCATTTGGAATTTTTGATTTTTTGATTTCGCACATTCATATTGAATAGCCATATTCATATGTATATAGATTTCTTTTCAATCGGTTGCTAAGTCCAATATACAATATAAAGTACAGAATTTCGGTTCAATTAAACGATAGCCCTCATCAATTAGACAAAAAGTTGTACATACATACATGTGTACGTATATACATTTAAATTTACTTCTAACATTAAGATATCGTCATTAAAAGACGAATAATATATGGAAGAATGCTGAGCGGAATATTAAATATTTTGCAGCATTCAAAAATTGGAATGTTGTTGGCTGTGGGGTGGGGCCAAGTAGCAACGCATTACACATCACATTCAAATTTGCTTGCTACATATATGAATGTGTATATATATACTTCTATACGGTGGCACTTTTCTACTATATTCTTTTATTCATTCTTTTTCCTTCATCGCTGCGATGAGGAACTATCTAAGGTTTTATAATTAATTTCAATACTATAATGTAGTTATGACTACCTTATTGCTTTAATTATTCTTAGACGAGTCATATACACGTATGTACATATGTATGTTTGTATGTATGTATATTGGAATTTGTGAAGGCGCATAAAGTTTTTGGCAGCCACGTTTTTTTAAGCGTACACAAATCCCGTTGTCGTCCTTACATCTGAAAAAAACTATAAAAAATAAAAAATTTATTTATTGGAAAAATAACAAGACGAAGAACTACAAATTGGAGGAGGAGCTCCGTCGAAAATCGCTGCAGCGGTTACAAAGCCCCAATTATAATATATGTACACAAACTGCGTACATATGTTTTTAGGTTGAAAGTATGCTTAAACAGCGTTTGTTTTACGATGATCTATCGATAAAAATTTGTAATGATAAAGAAGTATAAATGAGCTAAGTGGTGAGAAAGTATTTTGAATAACGTGGTACTTATATACAATATAATATATATGTATATGTGAATACGCCATGCAGTATGTACATATACTTATATGAATGTCTGTATCTGTATAATGTAAGAAACAATATGGGGATATAAAAACTTTGATTTCATTTCTATAACTTAAATTGCTTTGGGCTTAGTCCTAACTTATATCTGAACATATACCTATTAAGATAGGGGCAACCTGTTTCGAAATTAAAACATATTTTTTAAACATTTTAGGCGACAGCTGATTTGCAGGAAGCTTACAAGCATCCCGAGACAATTCCAGCACTCTGTGAAATCGCCGTATCGGCGCCGGAGCCGCAGGTTCGTCAATATTCTGCCGTACTGCTCAAGAAACATTTGGCTAAATTGCGACAATGGAACAAAGTGCCGGTTGAACAACAACAAGCGTAAGTTCAATTTTGAAATACTTACCATTTTCAAATTGCACATTGAATTTATGCTTACATGTATGTTTTTTTTTTTTTATTAATTTACAAATTCAGTATCAAGCAGGGCATGCTTAACGCGCTTATGCAGGAACAACAAAAATCTGTACGTAAAGCAATTGCTCAATTTGTTGGAGTTTTAGTGCGTCATGAGGCTAAAAAAGCTGATTCATGGATGAATGAAGTGCTTAAGTTCATCTACAGTTATTGCTCCTCGTCGGATCCCAAACAAAGCGAACTCGGCTCATCAACATTTGCAATTTTAGCTGATGCCGCACCTGATCAGTTTTTACAGCATATGGAATCCGTTTGTGAAATGTTCACTGCTGCCTTGGTGGCCACTGAAGCAACTGGCAACATGGCTACCCCGGTGATTTTCAATATTCTAACTGGTATGACATACTTGGTTCCCTTCACTTTGGGTCACAACACCGCCGAACAAACGCTGCAAAAATCCATCCCATTGATCGTTAAATCGCTGCAAGCTTTCGCTGTACAGCCAGAAGTCGATCAATTCGTACACGCTTTTGATATACTTGAGAGCATGGCCGATTTGAATGCCAAGCTGTTGAACAACCATATTAAAATGCTATTGGAATTCTGCTTGGAGGCAGCTAGTAATACGCAACTCGACAGCGCTGTGCGCATCAAAGCTGTGGCTTATGTCGGTTGGTTGGTGCGTCTCAAAAAGAAGTTAATTATCAAGCAGAAGTTGATCGAGCCCATAATTCGTGTAGTGTTCAACTTGATGGCCACGGAACCGGATGACGAAGATGGTGGGTAGAGATGATTTCTTTTTTGTATGAAAATATTTCGGAAAAATTTTAACTTTTTTTATTTTTAAAAAACAGTTTTCAGTTTTTAATTTTGTCTTCCATCGTTTTAATTTTTTATATCTATATATGTACATATATATTTTTTAATTTAAGGATACGTTTTTCAGCTTATTTTTAATTTTTTTCCGCAGATTTTATTATTTTCAAAACCTTATACATAAATAATGCAATATTTTGCCTTAACCTATTTTAGATGACGAAGAATACTTTTTAGCTGAAGACAACTCGAATCCAATGACCACTGCAACGCAGACAATGGATCTACTTGCTTTGAGCGTACCACCAGAGAAGTTGATCCCACCATTATTGCAACTTTTGGAGCCTGCATTGCAAGGTCAAGATCCACTGCCGCGTCGTGCTGCTTATCTAAGCATGGCTGTCATAGCCGAAGGCTGCTCAGAGGCTATTTGCAACAAATATCTTGAAACTATGTTGAATATTGTTAAAGTGGGTATCACTGATCCCATCCCACTCGTACGTAATGCTGCCTTCTTTGCACTAGGACAATTTTCGGAACATTTGCAACCGGACATTACCAAATTCGCACCACAAATACTACCTATACTCTTTGAGTTCTTACATCAGCTTTGCAACGAATTACGAGTAAGTATTTTATATATATATATATATAGAAGAAAATAATTTCGATACCTAAGCTATCTATATGTACATGATTACAATTAGAAAGATCACATTGCGTTATTGATGCTTCTATTTGGTAACTTTGTACATTTCTGGCTCTCTTTGTGTTTTTGTTTTTTTCCTTTTCACTGACGCTTACCAAAAGGTATCCTGGCCAAATGAAGTTGTAGTCACCGAGCCATGGCCGCCTAAAACTGATACAATACTTTATATAAATCAGCTGCAAATCAAGCGAAAATCGGTTTTAACTAATTATGTAGGGATTTTTTTTTTTTGCTAATTATGCTAATAAATATTTTGCTTATTGCACTGTAGCAAAAAATAGTCGATTCGATTTAATTTAATTTTGCACTTTATCTTTAATTAATTTAATAGAAATATATACAAACTATTAAAATAAATATCGATTTGATCCATTCCCAGAGCGGTGGCACCGAACCTAAACATATCGATCGCATGTTCTATGCTTTGGAAACGTTCTGCGAGAACTTGGAAGATGAATTAGTGCCTCATTTGCCGGTGCTTATGGAAATGTAATTAGCATTTTGAAAATGAAATTAATCTTAAGAACGTAATATAAATATTTTCCTTCTACAGTTTGTTCGAAGCTCTAAGCCCCAACAACTCGGTGCGTGTACGTGAGTTGGCTTTGAGCGCCATTTCTGCAGCGGCTAATGCAACAAACGAAAACATGCTGCCCTATTTCCAACGATTGATCACTATATTGCAATCATACTTGACGCCCACTGAAAACGAAGACATCATCAGTCTGCGTCCACAGGCCATTGACACATTGGCTGCTTTGGCACGAACCATTGGGAAGCAGAATTTCATGCCTTTAGCTACCGACACAATGACTTTCGCTTTGAATTTGCTCGAAAACGCTGAGGATCCCGACGTTCGCCGTGCATTATACAATCTGATCGCTTCATTGGCTGAAGTGGTTAACGAGGAGATGGCAAGCGTATTTCCAAAGGTAATTGAACGTATGTTTGACTCGATACTCTCCACCGAAGAAGTGGTGCCGGAATTCAAAGACGATGATGGTGTACCAGCACCAGCTGATGAGGCTGATGAAAATGGTGAAGACATCGATATTGAACACTCCGACGATGAAGATGATGATTTGGACAATATTGCTGGTTATAGTGTAGAAAACTCATATTTGGATGAGAAGGAGGAGGCAATTTTGGCATTGAAAGAATTCGCTGAGCACACTGGCACTGCTTTCATTCCATACTTAGAGAAATCTTACCAGAATGTATACAAGATGATCGATCATCCACAAGAGGATATACGTAAAGTGTCAATTGACGCATTGAGCTCATTCGTTGTGGCCCTTTTCAAACAACAGGATGTGCAAGGCGTGGCGAATGCTATTACAATTTTGATACCCAAATTGGGTCAAATTGTGCATGATGATGAGGAGGTGTCGGTCGTACTGTCGGCACTCGAAGGTTTGGGAGATCTTTTGAAGGAGTTGAAACAAGTTGCTTTACCAACCGTCGAGTTACGTGACGCCATCTTTGCATGCATCACCGATGTCTTGCATGGCAAGGTCGCTTGCCAATTCGACGAATCAAATGGTGATGACGATGAAGATGCTGAGGAGAGCGAATACGATGAAGCTATCGTTGAGGGCGCTGGCAATATGTTGCCCTTATTGGGTGGTGCTATGGGACCGGATGAATTCAGACCATACTTTGAACGCACCTTCCCGATTATCTTGCAAAAATTGGTAAGAAAAAAAAATAAGTGAGGAAAAGTTTAAAACTTTAAACACCAAAAATATATGATTTTACAGCAAAAGGCAAGAAAAAATGAAGATCTCGATACACAACGCGCTTTCGCATATGGTGCTTTAGCAGAGTGTTTTGAACCCTTACAAAATCACACTGGTATCTTCTTCCATGCATTCTGTCCCGTCTTGATCGATGGTCTGTCTGACGAATTCGATCAGGCTCGTCAAAATGCTGTTTACGGTCTAGGTGAACTGGTGCTATATTCTGGTGATAAATCGTTCGAGTAAGTGTATACATTTTAAATATAAAATTTTTTGCTGACATTTTTCAATCAGAGATTATTAATATAAAATGTTTGAAATCTTAATTTTTTACAGAGCTTATCCACACATTTTGAATGCCCTCTCACAAGCCGTTTCGAAGGAGACTAAGCCCAGTGCATTGGACAATATTTGCGGAGCTATTGCACGCCTAATCATCGTCAACAGCACTTTGGTGCCTCTTGCACAGGTGTTGCCAGTTTTCGTACAACACTTGCCATTGCGTGAAGACTTCGACGAGAACGCTTCAATCTTTAAGTGCTTGAAACAGCTGTATTTGCAAGCACGTGATGCAATCGCCGGATCATTGGAACAGATTATTGCAATTGCCATACACGTGCTCTACAAGAAGGAATACACGGAGAAGGAAACATACGATACAGCGTTGGGCCTACTGCAGGAAATTCGTGAAAATTATCCCGATAAATTCAGTGCAGTAGCCAATTCGAACCCAGAAATTATTGCCTTCTTGCAAACGCTATAAATTGCAATTGATAAAAACAGTTGATGAATGGATGAATAGCAAGTGGACATAAATTTCATGTATTTCAGCTAATCTTTTTAATTATCGAATGTATAACGTACGATATGTTTATAATATTTGGCGTACAACCAGCTTAAAACATTATAGTTCTCAAAAGCACATTACATCTACATACCCCACGTAAACGTAACGAAGAATTGCTGAATTTGAAATGTACCCTTAAAAATAATTTGTATGTGCTATTTTTTTTCCTATTGGGGTGTTAAAAATAGAATAAAAAACACTAAGACTGCGAGCATTTTCTCCAAAAACCAGAAAAAGCTAAAAACTAACTGCTCAGTATACAGCAGGGATATGTTTCGTTTTCAGGGACTGAAATGCAAAAACGAATATTTAATGCAAAAATTGAAAAAAGTAATATCTACTTTAACTGTTTTTATTCCATTACGTTTATAATTTGCACAGGAATATTTTTGTAAAATGTTGAAAATGAAGATGAGTAAAATATTTATTGTCGAGAAATCATAAACATGTCCGTTGATTTTTGAAAAGAAAGAAAAAATAATAATAAATGAAAACAATATTATCCTCTTAATGAATCAGTCCTTAGACATATATAAGTATTTTTTATAATTCTTTTTTTTATGTTTTGGAAAATTCTCAGTTAATAATTTCGATATATTTGTATGATTTTCTAAATCACAAATTTAATGTAAAGAAATAATGCGGAAATGTGGATTTTTTTATTTTTTTATTTATAGTTGAAACAACAGAAGTAGAGCCTACACATATACATATATACAATTTTAGAAACTCTTAACTTGATAGTATCATACGCATTATCTAATTTGAAGCAATTATAGCTAAGAGATATCATTTATGTAATTGAAAAATGTGTATGTATTATTCCGTGATTGCATAGTATTTGTACTTGTGAAACTCAATTGTTAAACGTCCGTGCGAGGCAACTAAGAAACAAAAATGTACATGTTTCCGTTAAGAAAAACCACTAATTCGCTTTTCAAATCCAGAAAAAATCGAATTATAAAACAAAAGAGAAATAAAAATGCCTTAGATTAAATGTAGTTTCGTATACTTATATACACATGGAGAAGCTTCCCACATACAAATTTCATCTCCACAATTCCACAAAAGCCGTAATAAAAGCAATTGTATTTTAGTTCTTCTTAGCGTTCAATTACAAACGCTCAAATGTTAACTTAAAACTTGCGTATATATTTTACATACGCGAAATCTTCGCCACCATCAAAAAGAGAGGGGTGGCATTTTAATCTCCAAGTGAATATACTGAAAAAGGCTGTGATATAAACTATGTGTCAAGTTGTTACCATGAGAACAGAAATAAAAGTAATTGTAAAAGCAAAAAGCTTTCCAAATACGCTTGTGTACACAACACAAACATTTACATGCGTAAGTCAGCAGAAAGTACGCTGTTAAAGAAATTTAAAAATATTTGTTTTTGGTTTAGATTGGCTGGCATATGCTTTTCAACACGCATTTTTTTTTTTAACAAAACATTACAAGTCATTTTATTACAATACAAAATGTATATTTCGATTTTCCAAGTGAAAAAAACTACATATCACTGTAGTCTGAGTGGTTGATTGATCTCCCTTTGTGTTCTGATATTAATATATATTTAACTTTTCTCCTCTTCCGTTGGTGGGATGCGCCCACTCCAGGCTACGGCGAAAACAGTGAGACACTAGCTCGTGTGCAAAGTCAATCAAAATATTGGTTTTAGTCGCGATCTAAAACTTTGCTGTGCTTTAGCACAACTTTTCCTTTGTCCTCAGCTTGTCCGAACAGTTGAAAGTTAGACATTGCCAGCGCGCAACTTAATTTTGATTTTTAATCTTTTTTTTTTACATAACACTTCATAAATTCCTTTTTTTTTGATAAATATGTAATTTTTAAATTTTAGTATCTATTATACAGCAATTGAATTTAGCAATAAAATAATAATAATAAATGATAATAAAAATTGCATTCTCAAAAACTACATACTTGTGTTTAGGGGAACAAAACAAGCTTTTTTTTTTTTTAAGTTATTCATTAAAATGAAATGTTTATCAATTTTCAATACGAAATTTTGTATTTTGCTTTCTATTTTTTTTTTTTAATTATTTTGAGTAAAAATCTAATATTTGTATTGCACTAAAAGTATATTGAAAAAATAATAAGTGTTATGAGATAATTGATTTTTGGAAAACAAACTTGCAACGAAATAAAAAAAAAATTAAAAAAGGTCAATGGTATGTTGCTTTAATGATTTCAAAATTTAAGTTGACGCGGCTTTTGGAGATTTGGATGATATCTAAAAGCCACTAGTTTGATGTTGTTGTTGCAGAGGTCAACTAAAGGAATTTGGATAAAACAAGCTGTTTCGACGGTTTTGGCATGCTGGACCTGCCATACTTTGCACATGTCGGGGTCCAGTCTGGATAAGTAAGTGCAAGTGTATTTACATAGCTGATTAAGATGTCGGGCGACTTTTTTTGAATAGCGTTCAAGATTTACCGGCAGCACGTCTCGTCCATCGATTGACGGATGATCCCTGCGATAGCGTGCCACTACTTGATACTACTTGTTGCCCATTATAACGTTATTCTTTTTAACAGGTAGCATAGATGGTTCGAAATAAAAATGAGGTACGAGCAATATGTTATGGTCTTCAATGTCGATTGTGACTTGGCGCTCTGTTCTCTGAAGACAACGCATTTTTATATGTAGTCAAAGAAATCCAGATGTTGAAAAAAATAGGCATGATTGTAAATGCCTCAGGTCGAAGAATTGAGAAATTTGAAAGATTAAGTTTACTTTCCAACAGAGGTTGACTATACATATATAATGGCCGCTTTGTAGCCGCTGAAGCTATTTTTAGCTACCTCCAATATGTGGTTTTGCGTCATGAAGTTATTCCAACAATTGAAGGGACCTACAGTTTATACTCAGCCCCCTCCGTACGACTTATAGTTTTTCATGTCAGAAATACACTCGGAGGGGCGACCGCAATTAGAAAATTTGAACTTAATTTTATATTTAAATTAGTTTGAATAAAATATAGAGTTACACCATACAGCAAATAAAATGTTAAAAATATCCTTTTGTTAAGTATTTTATTTTTGTATCTCTTTAGTTTTGCCCGCGCTTGCATTAAACTTCGTGCGTTTAACAAATTTACTTTTCTGGTTGTTTCTCTGATTTTGGCTTTCTTCCTTATTCAATGCAATATCGCCGACTTGTGTGAATGCCTGCATTTGCAATTTTTCCATAACAGATAGTTTTGATGGATCCTTAGCTTTGAATTTGGCATTATCCTTGGCACGTTCCTTACGCATTAGTTGCAAACGTTTATCTTGCTCCAATTTTCTACGGAGTTCTTGAAGCGCTAATGTATAAGGCTTGGCGTATTCTGCCTCATGATTGGTTTTCACCGTTATTTCATTAGTCAAAACCTTACCCACCTCCGTGAGTAAATGCTATAATGCATCATATAATGGAAATTTATTATTTACCTTCATAGACATATAAACAAAATGAAAAAATGCTTACATTGAATTGCTGCAGCTCCTTTTGTGTTAACATCGTTACTGCTGTACCCTGACTGCCAGCACGCGCCGTACGTCCAATGCGATGTATATAGGTTTTTATGTGTCTGGGCAAATCGTAAGAAATAACTACATCGACATCTGGTATATCAATACCACGAGCAAGCGCATCTGAGCATATCAGGCTGTCGAAAAATAAATAATAATAAACATTATATGTATTTCTGCATTGCCATTGAACATTTCTTCTTACCCATGAACGCTTCCACGTGCAAACTGACTTAACACATTTGCGCGTTCTTTCGGACTAATGGATGCGCTCAATTCGCCAATAACCAGCTTATTTTGGAATAAAGATTTTAACACAAAAGCCAATCTGTTAAGTAAAAAAAGGTATAGTTACTTTTACATAGGTTTTCTACTAGATTACCAATTTTATATATTTTTCAAAATTACCTATTCGATGACTCCGCACTGTTGGTGAAGCAAAGGAATTTTGTCCATTCATTTTCGTTTATTAGAGCGAAAAGTGTTAATGGCTTTATTCGATTTTCTGTAATGCAATAACGTTCGGTCAACTCGGCAGGCGTTGTATATTTGCCTATGAATTCGCCACGTCTTAATTCCTCATTGTTAGTAGCATCGGCAAACTTCTCTTGAAACTTCGTTAAATTAGCAAGCACAGAAGTAAATAGCTTGGGTTGGAATAATCTTAAATTTTGTAGTTTCTCCGGATCTTGTGAAAGCGTTGCAGAGAATAGCAACTTATGCGGTTGCACACCATAAGAAGCCTCCAATTCCCGAAAACAAAGTGGCGCTGCCCTGCCTGAAAGTAGTTGATCAGATGTAGTACGTACATGTTCATCCAAATGATAAAGCCAATTTTGAAAAACAGCATCCATTATACGATCAGCTTCGTCAATAACAAGAAATTGAAGAGCTTTTAAGCAAAACCCTTTTGTGGCGTGTAGATGATCAACTAATCGCCCTGGTGTTGTTACAACAATATCGACTTTTGAGTAATATTGTCCTCTATAACACTCCACAAGCTTCTCTTGCTCTTGAGCGAAAGGAAATGTTTTGGATAGTAGACAAACATTCAAATCGGTTTTTTCACATAACTTTTTGAATACTTTAAAAACTTGCAAAGCCAATTCGGCAACGGGGAGTACAACCAATGCGCGAATTTTACGCACCACCCGATCAGCTAATAACTGTACAACAGGTATGGCGAAGGCTAATGTTTTGCCACTACCAGTCGGCGCAGAAACACAAATGTCTCGTGGTCGAAATGGTGGTGGTTTCCCATGAGCTTCTAGTAACCAGGGTATCACAGCTGTTTGCACTGGAAACAAACGTGATACTTGCATTTCTTTGAGCGAGTGTCGAATATGTGGCGCCAAATATCGCAATTTACTTATAGATGATTCGTCATCCGTTGCATCACTTTTTGGTGCGACGGTTGTGGAAATGATTGTGGGATGTGCCAGCCAAGAAGGTAGCACCATATTAACATTTTTAGGTTTACTATCGTCTACATCTTCGCCAAGAACTTGGAAATGGCTAGATTCGTTTGTGGTTTCATCGGCGACAGGGTCAACATCTTTATCAGCATTAGTTGTATTATTGAAACTATTTTCTTCTGGCCCGGCAATATAAACGCTTTCAATTGCAACATCTTTAACAGTGGTGTTTGCCTTCTCTTCTTCTTTTTCTTGCGAATCCAGAAGTCGAGCAGTGCTTTTAGTTCTCTTTCGGTTCTCCACCTTTTGGAGCATTTTCTGCAGAATGGCTTCTTCATTTTTCTTAGCTTGATCCGGCTGGTCGCCGGTGTACCTATAAAGAGGAAATTTTAGCAGACGAATATTAGGAAAATTAAAACTTTAACTCACCGATTTATAGTAAATAATTCCATTTCATAAACAAATTCCTTGGGCAAAGAAAGTAAAATATACTGACAATGTATTTTGCATTATTTTACACACGCTCTACAATCAAAACACGTGTGGAATGAATTCACAGCAGAATAACAAAAATAAACAGATGATGTAGTTACCACACTTTAATTTTTTTTTTTAATTTTTGATTAAATTTTTGACGATTTTCGATGAGGTCCCAAATCAAAGAACGTATTGTTACGATTTTACTAAATCAACCTCGATTATTTCCTAAATCCTTCGGGTACGATCTCTGGATTGTTAAA